GTGTGTGTGTGTGTGTGTGTGTGTGTGTGTGTGTGTGTGTGTGTGTGTGTGAGATTGATTGCTGGGGAGGACCCCCCCGACACCAATCACTCCATCAATCACTCAACCAATCACTCACTCAATCAATCAATCAATCAATACAAAAAAAAACATCGGGGAAAAAAAAAACGCAATCTTGGTTGATTGATTGATTGATTGGTTAGTTGATTGATTGATTGATTGATTGATTGGTTGATTAATTGATTGGTTGCAGGGGAGGGGCGCACGGGGGGCTCACTAACCAGCCAACCAACCAATCAATCAAGAAATATATACCAAAAAAAAAAGGGGGAAATGGGGGGGTGATTCCGAATTTTTTACCCCCCTATCTTCTACGATTCTTAGTTTTTTTTTAACCCAACAGAATCAAACGACAATTTGTAGGTAGGTGGTCTTGGTTTTGGGCAATTCACACACACACACAAAAAAAAAGGTCCTGGAATGGGGTTTGGCGGGGCCCGAACCGGTGGTCAGGCGGGGCCCAAACCCCGGCCTGAACCCCGGCCCGAACCCTCGAATGTTCGGGCGGGCAACACTGCTCGCAATTCTTTTTTTCCTCCCTTTTTTTAATATTAAAAGCGTAACGGCCTTGAGATATCATCATCGAGTTTTTGGGCCCCCACTGGCCCCCAGGTATTCCAGAATTATGTTATTGGCACTTATTGCAGTCATCTAGGTCCATCTGGATTCGAACTCGGGTTTGTCGGCCGTAGATGTGAAGGACGGTAGTTGAGTACTCGATATCATTACTACTGAGTTAGTTTTCTGCTGAGTTATCAGTGAAGAGTACTCGATATCTTTACTTCTTCAACTTGAAGCTGTCAAACTTTCCAAAAGCAAAAAAAAAACGGCCTTCCAATGCTTCCATCTCTTTTTGTCTTTTTTTTTTTTCACCTCTCCTAGTGGTGGGACTGGTTTTGCGAAGAAGAAAAAAAAGCCTTCCATGTTAACCTTTCCGCAAAAAAAGAGAAAATAATAATACTAATAAATAAAACAGCCTTCCATCCTTTTAACTGTTCCATGCGTGATCGTTATTACTTGTGCTCCATGTTGTCTATTGGGACAATGATGCATGCAGCTCATTACAATCCTGAAGCCTACATTCTTGTCTCATGTAACGGAGGCCTTAACCAACAGCGAGCAGCGGTAAACTTAACACTCTCTCTTCTTATACAGTTATCACTGAGTTAGTAGTTATCTGCTGAGTCGTCACTGAGTTATCACTGAGTTAGTTATCTGCTGAGTTATCACTGAGTTATCACTGAGTTATCACTGAGTTATCACTGAGTTATCACCACTGAGGTGGTGTCACGGAATTTTCACTGTATTATCACTGAGGTGTCACAGAATTGGCACTGAGGTATAATTTATTATCACTGACTTCACTGACTTGTCACTGAGTTTCTTTTTATTTTTTTAAAAGGACGATGGCCTTGAGATATCATCATTGAGTTGACCGGCCCCACCCCAGGCAATTCAGAATTATTTCATTCTGTTCATCTGATGGCAGCTGGATTCGAACTTGGGTCTGTATTTCAACCATGGTAACCGTGGACCTGGACACCGGACACTGCCGGACTGTCTTCCGGACCAGTGTCCGGACCGATCCAGACTGTCCGGTGATCCGGACATCACCCGACACCCAGACATCACTGGACCCGGACAGTCCGCACCGGTGTCAGGGGGTGCAAAATGTCTGGACACACACACACAAACAAACAAACAAATAAACAAACAAACAAACAAACAAACAAACAAACACAGGAGAGGGGTGGGGGGGGCGCTGTTGGCAGGTACTTGCCTGCTTTGCACTTTGTAGTTCAGGCAGCAGAGCACCTGTCTTGCAGCAAATCAACAAGCACATTCAACTAGCAGGCACAAGACTAAAGAAACAGAGAAAAAAAAATATTGGAAAAAGTATGATTAACTCTGAAGTTTGAACTTTGAATTAAGTCATTTAAGTTCATTTCTTTCCAAAAAACGCTGTTGTTTCATGCTTGCCGGTAATAAGCAACCGGACTGCTGCCCCCCAGAATGGATGGGAACTTTGTGTGTTAAAAAAGGAAAAAAAAAAAAAAAAAAGAAAGTTCGAACTTTGCAATTCAATTCAGAACGTCAGAGTCTTCAGACTGGCAGCACTGTCA